ACCCTTTGGAATGAACTGCCCCCGGAGATACGGAATATCCCTGATCTCCGTGCTTTCCGCCGTGCCCTCAAGACCCTGATGTTCCAACAGGCGGGGCTAAACATACAAACATGTGAATGATTTTTTTTTAAATGTTATCTAATTCTGGGTTTTATTTAATTGACCAAACTAAGTAATAATTTTAATTAGCAATTTTATGATGTTTGTGTGTCTATATTTTTCTTGACTGTACACCGCCTTGAGTCCTACGGGAGAAAGGCGGTATAGAAATATAATAAATAAATAATAAATAAATAAATCTACAAGTTCAGATACTAGAGTAGAGCATACTACTGGTACTTAGCTGTCAAGAGACTTAAGTAACTCAGGCTTCCCTTTCACAATGTTATTTCCTAAATGAAACTTATTTACTTTTCTTTCACACAAGCATCAACCTCAGGAATACTTCCTTTGAAAAATTATCTCATAAATTTAGTATTTCTTTCTGCATACCTTTTGTTGAATCAAATGGCCTGTATTAGCCATTTAGAATCAAACTCTGTATTAGCAAAAATGTATTCAGAATACAAAAATCTGTATAATTCTCTGGATTAATGCTTAAATTACTTAAATAAGTAGTAATTTATTACTTGTAAATCCCAACCTAAATTGGTTTGATCAACTGGCAGTTGCTAAATAAAATTTCTTATTACATTTTTACTTTGAAACTGAAATGTACAAGTGTAGCTTTCAGCAATTTCCAAATATATTTTCCAGAGCCTTCAGGGAATAAGGAGGACACATTCTTTATTCTGGAAAGCTCTGAAATAATTAATAGTGCAATCTTACACATGCTTGCTGAGATATAAATATTTCAATATTTAATGAGAGTTGTTTCCAAGTTAATAGGAATAAATCATAAACCGAAACCCCAACATAGTGTCCAATTTAGCTGAGAGTATATATTATTAATTCCTCAGAATTGGTATAATGATAAATGTGGCTATACTCCAAGAAAAAAGCCCAGATTTTCTATGAATGAGAAAGACATGAAAACCTACGGTTTGGTATATTAGTTTTATTTACAAATGTACAAGTGTTTCACAATGGGGGTCAAAAGGCACTCTGCAGATCTATTAGCCCACATCTGTTTCTTAGGAGAAACGCCTTCACCTCCAGGTAAAGCTAATAGGGTTGCATGGACATCTCCTTAGAAAGGGAGCAGGCTTTATGCTCTCTTCTACCTACAAACGTGACATCCAGCACAGACAACAATAGATGGCATACTATAGGACAGTCTCCCTTGGGTGGTGTCTACCCATTCTGTTAAATCGGGCAGGAATGGCATGCTCTGGATCCCATCTGCAAGAGAGGACCATCTGTTGGGGTCTAGGAGGAAAGCCTTTTCTGCCATGGTACCTGGGAATATCGTCGCTCCAAAGATCAGACTTGCCCTGTGCCTGCTGGGACCCTGATAGTATGAGTGAGCCCATTTCTTTACTATGTTGAGCATGGGATGTTGTGATTGGCTGATATGCTATTTAGTCATTTACAATTTTGGTTCTGTTTCCATTATTAGTCACCCGGTGTCCTATATATGAGACGGGTGGCCACATAAAATCATTAAGTAAATAGGAATGGGAAATGCCATTTCTATTATTCCAGTACCCTGCAATGAACTGTTTTCCAAGCCCATGAAGAATGCAAGTGTTATCAAAATATCTATTTGGGAGCTGAGTTCAAGAAAATGGTATTTTAGCAAAAACAGAACAAAATGTTTAGGATAGAGATGTCAGAAATACCTCAGGAATGTCCAGATTTGAGGAACAATTCAAGAGAAATAAATCAAGGAAGAAATTGTGAGAGAAACGGGTGCAGGTAGTCCTTGCTTAATTATCATTCATTCATTGTCTATTTTAAGTTACTGAATGAATAGTCCCTTAGCCCAGTCCCTGAAGTTATGACTGTTGCAACAACCCTGCAGTTACATAATCAAAATCTGGGTGCTTGGCAGCCTGTTGGCACTTATGACCACAGTGGTGCTTCAACTCCCTGCCCACCTATCTCCCTCTTTTAGCTGCCCTGCACCGCAGCACTCCTTGAAGGGGGCTGTGCTGGAACTGAAATAGAGGCCTGGTGCTTTCACAGCCTGTAATGGAATGCCTGAATGGCGTTGGGGAATGAAGGCTGCATAGAAAAAAATGGTAAGAGAACATCTGTCTGATCTTGATGAATACAGATCACCAGGACCTGATAGATTACATCCCAGAGTTCTAAAGGAGCTGCAGATGTCATCTCAGAACCACTGAACCACATCTTCCAAAAATCCCGGAGCACTGTGGAACTACCAGAGGACTGGAAAAGAGCTGATGTGGTTCCCATCTTCAAAAAAAGGAAAACAATCAGACCCAGGAAGCTACAGACCAATCAGCCTAACATCAATACCCAGGAAGATACTAGAAAAGATAATAAAAAACAGATCTGCCAACATCTAGAAATGAGTAAACTAGAAGTCAGCACGGGTTTGTTAAAAACAGATAATACCAAACTAATCTTATTTCATTCTTCAACATAATGACTAAATTAGTAAACCAGCGAAATACCATGGACATAATATACTTAGACTTCAGCCAGACATTCGACAAAGTAGACCACAATCTACTTCTTGGTAAACTAGAAAAAAGTGGGATAGATAGCATCACCACCAGATGGATTTGTAACTGGCTGACAAACTATATCAATGAAAAGTCCTTAATGGTACTACATCTACATGAAGGGAAGTAAGCAGTGGGGTACCACAAGGTTCTGTCCTAGGCCCAGTACTCTTCAATATCTTCATAAATGACTTAGATGAGGAAAGAGAAGGGGAACTTACCAGATTTGCAGATGATACTAAACTGGCAGGAATAGCCAACACCCTAGATCAGGGGTCTGTAATCTTAAACACTCAAGGAGCCATTTGGACCCGTTTCCCACAGAAAAGAAAACACCGGGGGCCACAAAACCTGGGTGGGTATGGCCAGTTCAATGTCACTCATTCCCATCCAATCACATGACTCCCCCCCCCCAGCCATTACCCTGGTTTTGTGGCTCCCAGTGTTTTCCATGGAAAACAGGTATCTCTGTGTGTGGCTCTCTCTCTCTCTCTCTCTGTTTCTATCTCTCTCTTTCTCCCTCTGTCTCTGTCTCTGTCTCTGTCTCTGTCTCTGTCTCTGTCTCTCTCTCTCTCTCTCTCTCTCTCTCTCTCTCGTGTGTGTGTGTGTGTGTGTGTGTTTGTGTGTGTGTTCTCTCTTGAACCATTTCCAAAAACAGGCGAGGGTTTGGTTGTTGTTGTTGTTTTGTTGCTTCTTCTTCTTTGGGTGCTTTTTACCATATGATTTAAATTAAGTCACTTCAGGTTCCCAGATAAATGAAGTACTTTCGTCCCCCTGTTGTAACTCCCTGTCGGCTGAACCCACCACTGGCTGGCCCCACCCCTCACCCTCCCCTCCCAGTCACTCCTCACCTGGTCTGAGAAGGAAAGGGCGACGGCGGGGATTGAGACTCACTCCATATTCCATATTGCATGCACCTAGGTCACTAGGGGGGAGGCGCCATTTGCTCTCCGTCCCGGCCTAGCTGTGGCCAATGCTCCGCATCGTAATGGGCTCCCCAACTGTGAAGCGCATTAAATTTAACTGTGCTGCGCAAGGCTCTGCAAGAGCAGTGAGCAGGCTATGGAGGTGGCAACAGCAGAAGCATTGGCCGCAGCTGCGCCAGACCAGTGTCTTGGGGTGGAGAGCAAGTTGCACATCTCCCCAATGGCCAGAAGAAGCACTCGCGAGACCCCACAAGTAGAGGGGCGCTTCGCTCCGGCTCTGGAATATGGAGCAAGTCTCCATCGCCCGCCATCACCCTTACCTTCTCAGACCAGGCGAGGAGTGACTGGGAGGGGAGGGTGAGGGGTGGAGCCAGCCAGTGGTGGGTTCAGCCAACAGGGAGCCACAGCAGGGGGACGAAAGAGCTGCATGCAGCTCTGGAGCCATGGGTTGCCGACACCCGCCCTAGATGATAGGCTCAATATCCAAATGGATCTTGACAGACTTGAACCCTGGGCCCTATCTAACAAAATGAAATTCAACGTAGAGAAAAGTAAAGTCTTACACTTAGGGAAAAAAACCCAAAAGTACACATATAGATTGGATGAAACCAGGCTTAATAGCAGTAACTGAGAAGAATCTTGGAGTCTTAGTGGACAACCAATTAAATATGAGCCAAAAGTGTGTGGCAGCAGCCAAAAAAGCCAATGCAATCCTAAATTGCATTAACACACGGATAAAATCAAGATCAAGGGAGGTACTAATACCACTCTATAAAGCTTTAGTAAGACCACACCTAGAGTACTGCATCCAGTTTTGGCCACCACACTATAAAAAAGATGTTGGGACTCTAGAAAGAGTGCAGAGAAGAGCAACCAGGATGATTAGGGAACAGGAGGCTAAAACATACGATGAACGGTTGCAGGAACTGGGCCTGGCTAGTCTAGTGAAGAGAAGGACCAGGGAAACACGATAGCAGTCTTCTGATATTTGAGGGGCTGCCACAGAGAGGAGAGGGTCAAGCTATTTTCCAAAGGCCAGACAAGGAATAATGGATGGAAACTGAACAAGGAAAGATTCAACCTGGAAATAAGGAGAAATTTTCTGACAGTGAGAGCAATCAACCCATGGAACAGAAGTTGCCTTCAGAAGTTGTGGGAGCTTCATCACTGGAAGCTTTCAAGAAGAGTCTGGACTGCCATCTGTCAAAAATGGTGTAGGGTTTGCTTGGATGGGGCGTTGGACTAGATGACCTGCAAGGTCCCTTCCAACTCTGTTAATTTGTATCTGTAAACAATCAGACAAGATAGGCAGGAGCACTCAGGGGCTTATTAGTCAGAGAAAGAAACTTAGGATGGACCCGCCCTAAGATTAGACTGAAAAGTAGGAGTAAACAATATAATGCAGTCATAGGTGATATGAAAACAAATCTGTCTTGTAAGCTTTGTACAGATTTTAAGAAAATTTACTTCCAGCAATATTATATATTCAGAAATGGAATCATAGCAGAGTTTACAGTCATTTCTGTGGCATTTTTGTCCGTAGAATTTATGGCTAAACTTGGAAAAGCTATCCAGTACTGGCATAATTAAAGATTAAAGATTAAAGCTATGGCTCCTTGCATTTTAAGTCCCACTTCATAAAGCACCATGAATCCATCTTTGGGTTGACGGTTCTCATATTATTTTGGTCACTTTCTTGATCCAAGGCACAAATTTGCTGACCTTTGTATAAACACCAGGAGAATCCTTTTGCCCACACCCATATCCCCAGGAAGTAATTCCTAGAATTACCCATTGTGTATTTGGTCTTTGACACACCAATGGTCCTCCACTGTCCCCTTGACAGCTGTCTACCCGATTGCCAGCAGAAAGGTTTCCAGCACAGAGCATTCGATTAGTAAATTTCTTTCCATAACGAGATTTGCAAACTTTTCTTGGGAGAAGAGGCACGGTTCCCTGGAGTAACATCCTTGAGTATGACCTTCCTGGAAGAATAATTAATATTCATGCAATTCAATACAGGGAACAACAAAATAGATAGAAAAAATTAATTGTGAGGTTAGAATTATAACTTTATGGAATATGGCTTTTAATGATTGTTCATAATACTTTTTTAAAAACAAAGTTCATTTTGTTGTGAGCTATCTTGGATGCCTGCTTTTTTAAACTATTTATTTATTTATTAGTTTGATTTATATGCCGCCCTTCTCCAGAGACTCAGGGCGGCTTACAATGCTTTTAAGCAATAGCCTTCATACTTTTGTATATACCTGCTTAGTAGGACTTTTGGCCGCCCCCTAAGCGGTGTTTATACAAAGTCAGCTTATTAAACAATACATTCTGATTTAAAAGTTTTTTTGCATTTACACTTATTTATTTTAAATATTTTATCCCATTCCCACTTTTTTAAAGTTAAAAAGCCTTCAAAGAAACTAACAAAAATAATTAAAAATAAATTTAGAATGGGATCTACATTTCAAACAATTTTAAAATGTATAAAATAATATATTTTTAAAAAGCAATATGACAAGAAAATAAGAATCCATTTGTAGCTAAACTAAATAAGGCTAGGAACAAAAGGGGAGAGTTGGTGAAAATCCAGGTCTCTGGAATCCGAGAGAGCTGGAGGCAGAACTTCAGATTGAAAAGAATTCCACCAAAACAGAAGCCAAGAAAAAGCCCACATTTTTATTCTAATTATTTTATTTTTATTACATAGATTTAAAGAATGCCCTACACTGGACGGTTTGCATAATAAAAAGTTAAAAAAAAACCAGAATAAATAAAGTATCACTCTAATTCAGTAAATATAGAAATACTTTAATTATATTCTCTTTTCTTTTTACTCAAGTACACAGTACTCCTTTTCAGCAGTGTAATCCAAATTTGCAGATATAATTTAGACAAAAGGATAATTTAAGTAGCAAACTTTGGAAAACAAGACCATCCTGAATAAAGGCATCCAATCTGCAGAAGTGGAATGCTGATACTAAGAAATAATAGTACTAATAGTAATACTGATAGTACTAATAATACTAATAATCTTACTTCACCAATTATTTTCCTGACTCGATGCGCCGCCAATCTTACTTCTGGGAGCTTGATTGATGATTGGATGTACTGAGTGCCTATCAAAGTTTCTGCAGCCTTGGTACCGCCCCTTGTGACGTTAACCCCCCAGTCTTTTTCACTCAGTGGTAGGGATTACACCTGAGTGCCTTATTCTCTCCAGAGAATTTTTTTCAGCTTTAGCTTCTATTTGGATTTCGTTTTTCTTCTGAGTTCTAGTTACAGTCTAGTGAGGAGATTACTGGAAGCCCTCAGAAGCAGCGGTATTCGGCTCTTCTGATAGATTGCCAAACCGCCATTTTCTGTGCCCATTCTGACAGCCTGAGGCGCTAGCGGCGGTTTCGGTCAGAAATTAAACTGCCGAGCCAGCCCACCTTGTCCGATCGCCAGAAACAGCTGAGAGGCGCTTTTTAAAGCAGCCCCGCTGTTGGATTTCAAGTTTTGCCGCTTTGGAAGTGTCGGAGCGCCGGCCCGATGGTCTGTGAGTACAGCCGGCGGTATAGCATGTCTTGAACAAATGGCGCGGTGCCTTTTCACTCCCTGGGGGTGCTGTTGGTGGTCGTGCTGATTCGTGAGGGAACGGATCAGCCTTCCACGAATATTTTTTCAGTGCTATGGGTGTTCGTTTGCAGGGTCCCTGCTGACTAGTAGCATACCCTGCTGATTTAGGATGGCGTCGTAACGGCTGTGTTTCCTGCCATTTTGTTTTTCAAAGGACTATACTTTATTTATTTCTTGCTTGTATTTTTGTGGTTGTGGGACACTGGTGTTTGTTCCCACCAATTATATTGTGGCATTATGATAACTTGGGGACTAACTCTATTGTTTCTTTCTCCTTCTGAGGTGTGGCATGGCTGCCTTTTCTTTCCAGAAGTTCTCCTCCGGTCGCCATCTTGCTGAGACCTCCACAGACAGTTGCCTGATAAACTGCTGCGTGGCCTGCTAACAGATTTTGCAGCCACCGTTTCCTTGATGCTCTTCTGACTACCTGATGATTCATTGGCAGAAGGGAAGTGTTTATTTCTAGTTTTTTCTATTAATTCATCTTTATATACATATATTTCTACATTTTTATTAAAAAAAACCCGAACAAATTTAATTAATTCATTATCACTACCAACAATTGATCAACTGATTTTTGATCTTGAAAATTAGAGTTAATTGATTTATATTTTTATATTTAAAAAAAAAAAAGAGGAAATTAAAGGTAAACCTCAAGTTAATTGCCATCTTTTTTCTGAGCATAATTACAGAACTCATTGATTAACGAGCCTGTTTGCTACCTTTATTGGGAGTTATGGCTGATTCCCCTATGTCATCAGATATTGAAAGGGAGACTTCCCCTCGCAGGGTTCCCTCTCCCAAGCCTGCTGGTAAAAGAAAGGCCAAAACCAGGGGTGTAGTTAAAGCAGTTACAAAGCCTGTTCCAGCCGAAGCTGTTGTAGACAAGCAAGCTGCCAGGTTGCATAATGCTCTTGAAAAACAGTTTAACAAGGCTCAGGCTACTTTACAGTCTGGAGAACCTTCTGTTCCACATAACGACGATACTCTGGCCCAGTCCTCTGGCCTTCCTATGTCTGATACTTCTGAGACTATTTTGCCTGCTTGGCCACAAGGTGACATTATCCTTGTGCCTCATGACCACGAACTGATTTGTGCACAGGGTGATCAGGTCCTACAACCATCCCCGGTGCAGTTGCCATCTGGGGCTCCAGATCCCGTCGCTGGGCCTTCCACGTCTCAACCTAAACTGATGACTACCCCTGTGTCTGGTCAAGTTTTTGATTTTCAAGCTATGTTTCTCAAGCATTTAGCAATTTTCTGCAATCCACGTTTCAGCATTCTTCCATGCAGCCTCTAACTGTGGCTTCATCAGGGCCAGTGCGCTCTGCATTTGCACCTCAACCTTCTACTTCTAAGTCTGTGTCTGCTGCCCATGGCTTAGAAGGGTCTGATTATGAGGAGGATTTTTTTGATGACTTTGAGATGTCTGAGGATGATGAGCCTTTATCTGACGGGCCTCCATTTCCGGGGCTCTTCAAGCCTGCTCTTTTTTCTTCATTGTTCCGTAAGGCCAAGGCGGCCACTAATATGGGCAAAGTCATTGACCCTCCTTCTTCACAGGACCAACCATCTGTGTCTGATGCCTTGTTTAAAATGCCTCAACCTGAGCACGATTTTATCCCCTTTCCGGATTTTTTTGCTCAGGTGATTCAGCGCCCTTGGGAACGTCCCAGATCCTTAGCTGCCCGTCAGGCCATGACAAGCGGATGTATTGTGCCGCTCCAGACCTTGAGTCCTTGCTGCAGTTGCCGTCCATTGATGAACCTGTGGCTAGTCTCGTATCTTCTTCGGTTCTGGCTGGTGATGTCGGGGATGGACTGCGAATGGAGGACAAGCGGGCTGAACTATCATGTAGAAAAACGCATCAAGAGGCTGCATGGGCAATTCGAGCGGCTACTGCCGCTTCATTTTTTAATAGGGCATCTCTTATATGGCTTCGCCAATTACGAGACAGAGTGCCCCCTGAGGAGGCCAGAATACAGCAAGATATCACCAAACTGCTGGCTGCTGCTGAATTTGCGGCAGACGCTTCCTTGGATGCAGCAAAGTTCGCTTCACGGGCCCTCACTTCATCTGTGGTTTCTCGCCGCTTATTGTGGCTCAGACATTGGCGTGCTGACAATAAGTCCAAGTGGAGACTCACTACTGCTCCTTTCAAGGGCTCTTCGCTTTTTGGGTCGGCTTTGGACTCCATCCTTGTAGAGGGACGCGACAAAAGGAAGGTGCTTCCCACATCTTTTAGGAGACTGGATCGAAGAGCTTCTCCGTACGGCCGGCAGTCCTTTCGGGCCGATTCCAGCTCTGGCGGATCCTATTACAACCGATCCTACAATCAGGGATCTTTCTCTTTGGCAGGTAGGCCTTCCTTTTGTGACCGAGGAAGACGCCAGACCGCCTTCCGTAGACCCTTCCGTGGTTCCGGGTCGAGAGCCTTTCGCCGAGGCAAATGACTTCCTGCCTCTTGTTCCGGTGGGGGGCCGTCTTCAGGCATTTTACCATCAGTGGGAGTCCACTTCCACAGATGCCTGGATTCTCCACACTGTCACACATGGCCTCAAACTGAGTTCCTCTCCTCCCTGCCGGATCGTTTCCTTCCATGTCCATCGTCAGTGAATCCCCTGAAATGTCAACTTATGCTACTCGAGATTCAACACTTGTTAGAAATAAGAGCCATAGAGCCGGTTCCCAACAACCAACTTCGGACCGGCTACTATTCAACTTTGTTCCTAGTTCCCAAAAGTTCGGGGGGCTGGAGAGGTATTCTAAACCTGAAGGACCTGAATCTCTTCATTTTATATCGACGTTTCAAAATGCATTCGCTTCAAACAATTCTTGCATGCATTCGACGGGGAGACCTGATGCAATCTGTGGACATCAAGGAGGTGTATCTTCACATACCAATTCACCCAGACCACAGACGATACCTCCATTTCGCCTTCAAAGGACGCCATTTTCAATACAGGGCCATGCCGTTTGGACTTTCGTCGGCGCCCCGGACATTCACGAAAATACTGGCGGCTCTATTGGCGTCTGTCCGGGAACGCTCCATCCGCATGGTCTGTTATCTGGACGATGTGTTGATCCTGTCATCATCCGAGCCTCAAGCAGACAACAACAGGCAGCTGGTCCTTCAGGCTCTACGGTGCCATGGTTTTGTTCTGAACCTTCCAAAGGGCCAGTTGATTCCAACATCTCGTATTCTTCATCTGGGATCTGTTATAGATTCCCTTCAAGGAATGGTCTTCCTATCCCCAGATCGTCAAGCGAGTATCAGGGACCTAGTTCGACAAGTGATTCTCCAGCCAAAAGTGACTGTTCTGCTACTTTCCCAATTGTTGGGAAAATTCATCTC